GTTGCAGCAGCAGCGGTGGTGGGCGGGGGCGCTATGCATTAATTACCGGCGCAATCGAAGAGACTGCGCCGCGCCGCGCCGTGCCGCGCCACGGGCGTAAATCCTCAGCAGCTTTATTGCAGTTTTACGCGCCACTCCTGCAAATGAAACCTCGCGGCGCCGAAGGGCGCGTTGCGTCACCCGCGACTGAACGGCGTCCTCGCACGCGGCCGCCTCGCCTCTGATTGGCTCCTTGTGTGAGCTCTCGGCTATTCCCCCCGTCTTTCTCCTGTGGTGAGACCGGGAGGTGGCTCAGGGAATTAACTGATGACACAGCACGGGCTCTCACCGGGAGGTTCTGGGGTCGAGTCCCAATGGTGGCAGGGTTTTCGACGTACGAGCTAGGTCGAATTCGGTCTCTGTTTGGAGGAGAATTCTAAAGGACGGCTGTACTGATTGGTTGTTTTCTGTGGTTGCTCCGATAAATTCTGGGCTAATGCCGGAGCCATAGATCGCGTGCGATATTTTCTACCTTTTCCTTCTTTTATTCTTACCTTTTTACTTCCACACACTTCCATGCACTACAGTACCACACATGGAGACAGGTTGGGAGCTTAGAGCTTACCTCGGCTTGGCGGTACCCCGCTGGGGGGGAGATACCTGGTTGAGGGGACACCCAACTTACCGACGATGGCTCTTGCCATTCAGTGGGGGTCAATCACCGCCACCTGTCGAATCAATCATGCACTACACTTACGGCACTAATGATCTTAGCAGTTGACGCGCCCGGAATCACTAATTAAACAATCAATCAATTCGTGTTCCTGCTCTATCGAAGTCTCGGTCTGAAGTACTCAGTAGTGCTCGAGCTTACTTACGAGCGTGTAGGCTGGGGTGGGTGCGAGAGGTATGGAAATTATGCCCGCCTTCATTGCCACTACTTTGCCTTTCCTCTTATTTTTAAATGATATATTCCTAGAACTATATTGTAGATCGGTTTATTTTTAGGCATTCTGGGCAAGCTTATTTACGTTTTTAATTCCTCATAACACATTGTAACCAATATTTCTACGAGATCAGCCAACTCAGCAACATGCGCCTTTCTCTTAAACGTACGTTGTCCTATTGTAAGCGTGGCAACATAATTCTTTTAAAAAATATTATGACTGAGCACATAATACAATCACCCCTGCGGCACCCTCGAAGGTATGCCACCCCCTGGAGGTAGTCTGGAAAGGCTCAGCGGGAGCAAAAAAAATATTTTTCCGTGCCGAGGCGCTGGCAGATGTTCAGCAGCGCTGCGAGTTCGGGTTTCCGGCACAGCGCTCAGCCAGCGAAGCGAGCCGCCCGCGGGCCCCGGCTTTGTGCGCTGGCCCAAATCCCTTCTGAGAAGAATACGAATCCGATTGGTTTTGTGGTCTTCAGCTCTCTTTTGATCAACTCGCTGGGTCTGTGAACTTTTGCCGGTTTACGAGGTATTACGGATTTCCGAGTTAGGAACGGGAGCATCCGGTTTTTTGAGGCGGTGAGGCCGTGCTCTGCTGTTTTGGATATCCATTTTCTTAACTTTCTAAACAGGGCTTATCGCTCATTATTGTTTTCCTTTCCAATGTTGTATATCCACTACTGCTAGCATTGTTAGAATACCTTGTTTTACTTAGCTATTTTTTGAAGTATTCACAGATTTATATATATATATATATATATATATATATATATATATATATATATATATATACGTGAACAAGCATTTTCGAGAAAGTTCGATCAACTAATTCATAATTTCTTTATTACGATTGTTTGCCCAACTAGGCAACTTTTGAAGTGTGTGTGTTCGCGTTTCATCGGAAGTGAAATTCTCTTCCTGAATTCAGTCTGAGTGATGTATTGCTGATATACAAGTTAGCAATACGAGGTCGTGAATTTCAACGATGTATTGTTTAGGCTATACACATTGGTTAATGTTCACTGTAAAGAGGCTTATATGCAATTCTAATTTTTTATCGCTGCGGACTAAATGTCGCTTTGATATGTAAATTAGCAGAATTTTTCGCCAGAAATGGGCCCTGTTTGATCAAATCATCAGTAAATCCAACGTACATTGGGCTGGGAATTGCTACAGATTTTAATCTTTCACGGGCGGCGCTCTGGTCATGGCTGGGTTTCATTTATGTGGGCCTTTTCCAGGCGAAACCGGTCACTTTTAAAGCAAACACGGAATATATACCGAAACATTTTCTTTTCCACGAGGTTTTTGTTTGTGTTCTTTGGAGTGTCCTCCTTGCGTCTTGAAATACACGATTCCATTATCTCGGATGACCTGCCATTTACAATTCTCTCGAAGAATCGATGTCCGTGCTGTTGTACGTGTAGAATGTTCTCTTAAATAACAGAATGTTTTCTCAAATGACAAAGTGAGGAAGAGGATTTTACTTCATGCCGTAAAACCCCATTCTGAAAAATGGCGCACCTAACGAAGGGTTTAATACGGAGGGAGTGCAGCATAATTGAAAACGTTTTTCAAAAAGGACAGTCTTAAAGAAATATGTCTCAAGTACAGGGGATATTCCCTGGAGCGTCCTAGTTCTTGCGTCGTAAAATACAACGTTACCCCCATCTCGGGGGACCTGCCATCTACTATTCTGTCGGGGAATCGATGCCCATGCTGTTGTACTCGTAGAATGTTCTTTTAAATAACAAAGTGGGGAAGAAGATTGGTCTTAAAAGAGTTACTGAATTCCTATTGATGGAATGGGCAGTATATCAGAAGATTAATTTAAATGTGACGTCTGTATTTCTCACAAAATTAGTTTCGAAAGTGACATTTATCGTAATGCGGATAAAAAGGCGATTAAACCATGTTACGGGTTAATACTAAATAATTGAACGCCTTTGTTGTTACACGATACATACGTTTGTTTAATAGTCGAAATTCAGTTTTCTGAAATTTCAATGTTTGAACTTTTAGTAAGTGTTTTGCTAGGAATTTCGTTTGACAAGACTCGAAGAGAAACACGTGGGTAACAATGAAGGCACCAGTTGGTAGCAAAGTTGTAAGGCCCCGCAGGGGAGATCTCGGTTTGCTCTTTAAATTCGAACTGAAATTATTCTTAGACATATTTTTTTCCTTTTAATATCTTTCAATCAACATTTAAAAATATAAATAGGAAGCAAAACAACATTCTATAGAACATCAAACGAATGTATTAATCTTCTGTAACGCCACCTGTATATTAAGGAAATCTAATCACAAGTGCTGTGTAGAAATTGGTATTTTATATTGTTGGCAAATTCGAAACGAGATACACCCGCGTGTAATGGCGTGTAACTGTGGCCACGTGGTGAAATGTATAATTGTTGTAATATGCACTTATGTTATGTCTATAAGTTATGTCTAATGCACTATACGTTGGAACTTGTATCCTGTATTTTTATCAATGCCTTTAATGTTGTCTTGACCATTGGTAATAAGTAGGGACCAGATTTTTATGAAATATCATTTGTTTCTCTTTTCACTTTAGCACAATGACTTTTAATGTAGACGTTAATTTCATGTTATGACGAAGGAAAATTACCCATATGACATACTTTTTTTTGTATTTTCCGTCGATTTTGAGTAATAAGTGTTTTTTTTCCCTTTTTCGACATTTTTTAAGCATTTTCGCTGATTTCATCAATCTTAATATCATTTTGATGATACTTGCTTCGAGTAATATTTACTTGATGCAAAAAATGTTCTCCACAGACTTCCTGAGTAGCCTATTCGATTTCTTTGGTCAGAAATTGTAATACCAGTATCTGACGTTGTATGTAATCTAAGGTTGTGACGACTGTAAGCGCCATTGTCAGTTCCGCCAATTTCGGGATAAGTAAACAGAGATTTCTTGGTAAAGAAACGTCCAAACTAAAAGTATGCTAAGTTCACTTGAAATAAAGAAAGAAGCTTCAAATACTTAGTAACACATCCAACAGCTTGATTTGTTCATCTAAGCTAGAATTTTTTGACGTACATTTTTCTTTGCTTTTAGATCGTTTTAAAAACATTTTAAGAGCATTTTATGGACCATTTTGGCGATGTTTTAATAAAATCCGCCTCCTAGTTATTTGGCTAGTAAAGTGGAGACTGATGGTGTTCCAACAATGCAGGAGGCAGAACTTTGTTTTCGGCCCAGAAGCTGCAAGCTCTGAGGATGATCGCTACGCGATCGAAATGATCATTAGTGGAATTAAAATATTGATACCTGACAATATCTCTATTTATTTATCAAAATGCAGGAGGCATTGAATGGTGCCAAGACTGCATTTCAATAGTTAAGAGACGGTGGAGAATGCCGAAGTATGGAGAAAGCACGAACTATGGAGACGGATCTAGAAAAAATTCCTAATGAAAAATGATCGAAGCAAACAATTCGAAAATAATTCGTATTTTAAGTTCACATAAAAATATTAGTCGTCCGGATCACCGAGATCGTTAAGGCAGTAGTGCCGTAGCGATATCGGAATAAAGGTACTCGGGTTGAAGTCCCGACTCGTGTATGGTTATACTTGTGATCGTTCCTTCAACACTCATCACCATATCACATCACACTGTTCACCATATTGTTAATCCATTGTGGTCGCTAATAATCTAGCTGTTGATACGACCTAAAATTAAAAAAAAATTCAGTTTGTGCCGTTCGTGTATTTTGCTGTATATTAATGTGTTATTTATTAATTATTATATATTTATTATTATATATTATTTATTTATTATTATATTATTATTATATTATTATAATATAATTATTATTATATTATTATATAGTATTATATATAATATATTATTATATATTATATAATTATTAATTATTATATATTAATTAATATAATAATATTCACCATATTGTTAATCCATTGTGGTCGCTAATAATCTAGCTGTTGATACGACCTAAAATCTAAAAAAAAAATTGAAAATTTTAGTGTGTGCCGTTCGTGTATTTTGCTGTATATTAATGTGTACTCCTGTCCTTGCGTTTGCGCAGGCGCGGGCGGTGCGATGACGAGCACGGAGGAGAAGAGCGAGGACAAGAAGGAGATCGAGGACGAGGAGCGCGAGAAGATGCTGAACGCGGAGAACGCGCGCGAGTCGCAGGCGCCCGGGGCCGGGTCGCCGGGGGCGGCGGGCGACGCCGCGGCGGGCGACGCCGTGGGCGACGGCGTGGGCGTGGGCGTGGAGCGCAAGGACGGGGCGCTGCCGTCGGCGCCGCGCCAGGGCGAGGTGGAAAAGATGAAGAAGGCGCTGGAGGAGTCGGAGAAGGACGCCGGCAAGAAGAAGATTCCCATCGGCGGCATCCGCATCCCGGGCTTCCTGCGCAGCCGCTCGCGAGAGAAGAACAACAAGGTGGGTGCTCAAGTCGTAGGCTTCCGCGACCACAGTCATGTGGGTGATCTGGGCTGTCCGGGTGACGCCGGCAACTCAGCCTTCGTTCGCTTGGCAACTCAGCCTTCGACGCGGCGTCACCCGGACAGCCTAGATCACCCACAAGGTGGGTGCTGCTGGCCTGCGCCTCCGCCGTCTCCACGCTCCCGACACAGCCAAGATTTTTATTAAGTCACTCGGCTTTTCACTCGATGCATTTTTGTCGCTCGGGATCATTAGAAGGTTTAACGTATTATCAGTAAACGCCCGTGCTACGTACATAGTTTTAATTTTTACCCAATTTTATTATTTCATAATTTATTTACTAATTAATTGT